TCTTCCAACCCTCATTCAGTGCGCACGTTTCACCCTCTCCTCCCTTATCCTATTGTCCTCTCCAACCACTCCTCTCTCCTGGTTCCTATTCCTTTCCCCTTCTACTATAAGAGCTCACGAACATAAAACTTTTACAGCATGCCCTAATTCTACCAAGGTCTTCAGATGTAACTGCTGATTCATGTAGTGAATGTATGGGTTCATGTTGCCCGGTAATTGGGTCGCTTAAACTCCAGCCTTGGCCGGGAAACCACTCGAGGCTGTGCAACAACTCCAGGCTGTACAATCACTTCAGGCTGTGCAACCACTCCAAGCTGTCAAATGAACAATGTTAAAATATTTTCAGACCTAGAACACAATTGACCTTAGACTTCTTGACAGCATATAAGGCAAGATTTTCTCCATTTTTTCACGTGCATGGGGCAAAAAAACTCTGAGTTACCCATATTGAACTAGGCACTAGGCCTTTGGATTTTTTGCTCTGCCACTGAGCTATATAGAGAGCTCACTCGGGTGAAATGGGCGATCAATAGCTTCATATCTAACAAACTCGAAGTTTTTCTTTATTCATGCATCAAGCTAAAAAAATTTACCATGCTTATTGTATATATCACCAGCTTCAGTTGCACCATACCAGCATTTTAACCCTGTACACCAAAACATGAGTATGCATTTACTCCATACTATCTTTGTAGAATTTATTTAACGATCGAGAGCTTCTTTAGTTGGTGACCATTTTCCTCATTCTTTTTACCTTAATGTGTGATTCAGGGGGTTATATTGTAAGGAGAGATTAGATGCCAGTCACTATTAGAATTTCAAGTATCAATTTCCTGATATCTGAAAAAAATGCCTAATAAACACACTAAAGCCTGAACAACAACACTAAGAAGACGAGGACAGAGAATATGTTAATCTACGTGTTACGCATCTAAACGACACCATTCATTCCTCTTTTCCCCTTTCAAACCTTTCTGAAGTATACTCTCTTGCAATCAATGCAGTCATGGATAACTTTAGACCAAAATGGAATTTCCATTGTAAACACTGCACTGCACGGAATAATAATTAATTTGTTTTCTGACAAACAAACTAAACAAGAAAAAAACATTTGATACACTGCCTGGAACTTTGTTTGTTCAAACTTGGATTCATTTAATTTTTATCAGTATAAAATGTTTTATTTCTAGTTACCTGCAGGAGGACGTACGCAGGTTGCTGGCCTGTTGCTGGGTATCCCTGTGGCACCACACCATCTTCAGTCTGCATTAAAACCCCACCAGGCTGTGTCCTTGGGTTCATGTACCGAGGCTGTACATACACCTCTTGCTGGCTGGTCCTTGTCTTAATAGTTAGAATAATTAAACATCAGAGTGATTAAATATTCATAGTCTAAAACTCATTACAAAAACGCAACTTGCCATTTCACCAAATAAGGTTAATAGAATGAACAAAGCCATTTAGTAGGTAGGTTTATAACTGAGCTACTGTGAACAGGAAAACAGCGCGTTTCTAGTGAGAGGGGAGTTGACTGTACTACATTCAAAACTAAAAGTTCCAGTGGTTCACAATGAATACTAATTATTTCAAATGTCACTAGCCCAGCATAAACTGTTCATCTTGATCATTATTTACACTATACAAGTGTTCACGAGAGAGATATTTGTTTAGTGAACGTAATGTTTGTTCCACGATGCAAACAAAAAGCAAAGAACAAAGCTAGACTGGACAACAGGACACATGATTTTAAACTTGTAATAAATTAACAACAGTTGCCATCGGACACTAAAAAATATGCACAGATATTTCTCCGTGGATATTATATAAAAAATCATGTTTCTTCCTCTGTTACAGTTAAGATATGCCCTTCATCTTGAATTCAAGTTTGAACGAAGGCTTTTATCGTATTGACCAAAAGGATTTGACTGATTGGGGAATATCAGTCGGGCTAGATATCCTAGGATATTCCCCAGTTTTAGCCACGGCTTATTTGATCACATGTTGTATTTAGAACAATTGCGCGCGGGCGAAAATATTTGATGGATTACAACATTGAATAGTTTTCAGTTTTAGCCCTACATATCCAGTTATGTGCCCCTTTTTGTGGAACGAACTGTAAGTATGCAAAAATATTTGATGCAATATATATATAAAAAATGTATTGGCAACAAATGATTTAAAGATAGCTTTAAACATTAACAACTGAACTGCTGGTGGTAATTACTTACTGTGTTCCCAACTGCTACTGAGTTACAACACACTGCCTTGCAACAATAGATGGATGACGCAAGGGCCAAGACCAACTCAACGAAGGACAAAATAAGGAGACAAGAGCCAAAACCAGCCAAGTTTTCCGCAGTAGCTCTACGAAGGCCATACCTCCCATAGCAATCATAGTCCTCGTTGGTATAATAACCGTAATCGTTGTAGTTGTTACAGTGTGTCCTCACTTCAGCGTAGACTAAAAGAGTAATGCTATAGCAGATGGCCATTTGTCCTGAGAGGATACACCCCATAATGGAGAAACCCATAAAACATCCAATCTGTCGATAAAAAGACACCACACAATGGAATTAGTGGTGGGCACACACGGTAGCCACTTGAACAACAAACACTAGCATTTTAGGCTATGTAAATCGTTGTTGGATAACTTTTGGGAGGTTAACCATTTTATGCTCAGTGAATCTTTGATGATGTACTTTCCTTCTTGCGTAATATATTGATGCATATTTTCTTTTAAGCGATTCAGTTTTAATTTTTGGCTCATTAATCAGTTGCATGTAATCAAGGCTCTTTCATTATAATAAGGTAGTGTGTATTGAGATAGGAAAGTTATCCACAAAACGTTTCCTTAAAATTCCTAGTAACTCACCAAACACTTGTCTGGGTAGAAATCATCTCTTGCTCCGACATATCCCAAAATTCCAGTGATAAAAACCTACAATTCACACAAGCAGAAAGATCTTTTATATAATTCCCTTCTCATTGTAGAGTAAGAACACATTAAGTATTCTTAAAGTCCACGTGATAAAAGTTTTTACATTTTGCAGGCCTTAAATATACAATTCACATAAAAAAAAACTCGAAAGCTCCCCAATCTGAAGTGCAGATGGAGTTCATGAAGTTCACTAAATATAATTTTCGCGATCCCAACTTAGAAACTTTTTGTTTATTTATCTACCCTATAAAACCTTTTACTAGGTCATCTTTGGAGAGCCATGTGATGATGCCAAAAATTGCTCACAAATTGCTCTCTGATGATGACTTCCGCTCAGGTTGTCGAAACGTCAGTCACTAGTACCGACAACAGTCCTTCTCAGGACTACACTCACCCGGACGATCAAACTACACTATTACAATTTTCCTACCCCCAAAATCTCAAAAAAGTGCGATGAATCCCATTCTAGTAACTCTGTGGAAAATGCAACCCCATTGTAATCAATGCAGCCATAAAATTGTAACCCCATCGAGTGGCATTAGCCTATCACAAGGCAGTACCCCATAAAATGGTGACCCCCATCCAGTGGCGCATTCCCAATTGCCTATCAAAAGGCAGACTACCCAGATCGTCCTAAAACTGAACAATTTTCGGGCGAGTGAATGGTAGTTAAAACAGAGATAATACACATGAAAGAGAGAGACCGATATATTTTTTATTTATGTAGCGATAAAAGCGAATTAAAAGACTTCCAAAGAAACTTTCAAACATTTTTTTCGCAACTATCTGTCCCAATCTGACACCTGTCAATTAGAGAGCGCGTAAGAAAAAAAGCGCATGTACACTTTTGAAAAATAATAAGAATGGTACTGGTTTGGCAAAAAACTCAAGTTCAGGAACTGTCATGACAATTTTTTCTTCAAAACCATCTAATAACCTCAATAACGGAAAGTATTATTCACTTCCAGCGATGATTAGTGTACGAAGAATACCTCTGTAAATTGCGAGGAAAGAATCTGTGAGTAAATTCAAATGTATGTTTTAAAGTTGTGGGAGTTTGCTCAAGCGCTAGAAGAAAGCAGATTTACAACACGATTGAGTAGAAATAGGAAACGTCCTTACAATAACGTAACGCTACGTAACACAATATTCTGTAGTTATACACAACGATAAGCCTTTTCGCCGCCATAACCGGTCTCAAACGCTCGCTCTTAAAATAAACAAAACACGAATACCGTTGGAGAGCATTTGGTCAGAGCTTTTGATCAAAGCGACCATCCAAATCCCTGGGTAAATAAAGACTTCAAAAAACGACGTGCGTCACATTTGGCCTTCTCGAAAATTAATCTCAAGTTAATTACTTAACCACAGTGATTCCGTTTGTCTTTGACAACCAACTGACATTGCGACAAATACTTCAACACATTCAAAATAAAACAAATTACTTTCAACTGTGGCGGAGGGAAAAAGGAATGGCCTGACTTTTACGGAATGTTCAGTCAAAATCTGCTTATTTCTGCCGCTTTCACCGCCATAATGGACTTATCGCTACCACAATGCAACGCAATCAGAGTGCGCACACCGTCAAGGCCGAGCCCATCCTTAAATTGATTTGTTTCAAACGCCTTTTTTTTTTCAGTCAGTTCCACATTCACACCAGTTTGCTTCTCATTGATTGGTAGCTTGGTAAAATTTTCTCTTCGCCTCATACAATTGGAAAACAAATCCCCGGTCCTAAATACAACCTGTCCTTTTCGCCATTGTTTTCTTTAACCAAGAAGTGTATGCATAATAATTTTTGGGGCTGTGATTTCAGGTTTTTAGTGGAAGTAGTGCCTTCTTAAATGACCAAGTGTCAGTGAACCGTAAGCCTCATATTGAACCTGCCGCAAAAGAGTCAACTATGTAACTGCAGTCGAATAAGCGTCCAACAACATGCCTATTATCTTGACCTTTTATTCGAAAAAGCTAGACGAAACTTACCCAGACGCCAACCCAGATGCCAAAACCGACGTACGTAGTCCAGTCTGTAGTGAAGAAAATACTTGCTATTCCAAAGACGAACATCAAAGCCCCAAATACCATCTGCGCGTTGGCCAACCCTCGCAAAGCAGTTGCTTTGTACACCATGACTGTAATCAAATTGGTGAGAAATCGAACATTCGATCATACGCCAAAAAATTCAAGGCTTCAAAATACTTCCTTAGCAACATAAGTATTTGACTGTATTCAGTGCCTGGGGTTGGCAAATGTGACCCTTCCCTGGCTGGGATGGGGAATTTGAACCGGAAGTGTCGATTCTCTTCAGCGGAATACACGTTTTATATTTTAGCATGGAGTTGTTCAAAGGTGCAGAGTTAATTCATTTTTTCGAGCGAATGGCTCACAAGAAAAAAGTTTACAAGGTCTAGGTTTTAAAGCTCTCATAATCAAATCAATTGCTGGTGAATGAATAGAAAGTCGCAGTCGCTGATCTTAAAAAAAGAACTAATCATCGAATCCAGCAGTGGGGAAGAGCATTTGAATACAGTTTTGGCCCCCAGGGAGGAGGGGGAAGGTAAGAAATTTTAACCGTTCAAATGTTCGGAGGGGATCTTTAAGCTTGGAATTAATCGGCGCATAATGTGGAAATCAAGCCTTCTACACAGAAGTACAGACAAAGATATATGTTTTTTTTTTGTCATACCAAGGGCTTGTTGTTTAAATGATAAACAAAAAAGGGCTGTCTAGCCTCCTTTTACAATT